CCCCCCCCAGGATTGACGCCCATGGCGTCATGTAGATCATTGCTAATTTTTTTAGAAACTCAAAATCTCAGTGGGGGGGGGGGGCGACTGGGGGGCGACAAGGTTTCATGGGGGGGGGGGGCGGTCGCCCCCCAAGCCCCCCCCCCCGTGGCTACGCCACTGCAAGGGGGAGTTTAGACTCCTACCTCCCCCTCTCCGGCCTAAATTCGCCACTGCTAAAATTGTCTATAGGCGCACTATCTAGCAATCATCAACTGTATACTCTCTATATTTCTATCAAAACCGAGCCACTACAAATTGTACAAATTGCTAACGGGAAGTTTCATGTTAAAATTTGTGAACAAACTTCTTCCCTTGGTATTTTTTCCGCTTCTTATTAGCCGTCCACATTTATGGACAAGATCAACCAACAAATGTGTAACTCACATTATATCCCATGAACAAAATTCGATTTCACAGCCCACGTCTCTGGAATGATACCGCTTTGCTCATCAGCCAATTTTCTTGAAGACACTCACTTTGACCCAAAGGAAGAGTGGTAGAGAGGAAGAGTATAGGTTCTGGGCAGCTACTGACATTGCCAACAAAGAGCTCATCTCATATCTCAACTTTGGAGCAACATGCCTTCAATCTCCATAATAATGCAGTGGGTGACTCTAAATATGATCTGTACTCTCCACGCAAGAACTGCCCACCACCTAATGGAAGATGACGGAGAGCATTTGTGACTGTGGGCAGTGGGCACCCAGACCAGACCATTCCTCACACTGAATGAATGGCCGCTGAGATGCGGCATCAAGGCCATCCACCAAGCGATTGGATACAGCCTGCCCTGGATGTCCAATCTCGACTTGACACTATAGGGCGTATAGGCTGCACACGCAAGAAGTAGAAATAGGGCGGTGAAAACACAATCGTCTGCATGTAGGCCGCTTTAAAAACTCATTCAATTAAGGTGCATTTGATTTCCCATTACCTAGCCTAGTTTGGATCTCTCTAAATTACGCTTCTGCATCTATTCGTTCTGTTTTCTCCAGATCCTTTTTACATGGCAGGCGCATCTCACTTTTTGGCTCTGACGTTTGTTTTCTTGTCCTAGAGTTGTTCATGGTTTTGTGCTCGTGCGCCGCAGCACTGAGTTCATATAGTGAACATTCTCAGCAATGTCTGGGTTTGGAGAAAAAACAGTCTAAACTAAACAAAATTCTTTAATGCGTGTTTTTCTGTGATGGAAAAAAATATTAAAAGAAGATAGTGAAATGCAGGTGCCAGATATTGAAAATATGGTATAAAACTCAATCATCCCGACTTAATGTATTTTGGTGTTGAAGAAGTGACCTTCAAAAAAAGTTATTTGTTTCCTTCATAAAAGGCTTTTAACCTTGATGGGTAGCATTAGCCTGATGATGCAAATGATGATGGTGATGATGTTGATTGCTGTTTTATGTGCAGGTCAAGGTAGGAAAAGGCACTCAGGTAAATTAGCCATTACTCGGAACGAACCCATCAATTAAATGAGGAAAACTTCCGGCCTACTTTCCCTAAGTGAAGGTAGGACTGGCATCAACATAACCTGCGCAATAATTCCCCCTGAAATAGTATCATTTGGAAGAAATCAGTCAATTTAAAGACGTTAAAAGTTTACACTCGGGTATGCTATTTTTCTTTAAATGACGGTAGTTGTTCAATGCTTCGAAGATTGGGCCTTATGCACAAATGGGCCTTATGCACAAATGGGCCATTTTTGTCGTGTTGTCTGAACGTATTTCATCAGTTGTGAACTGTTGAATGGGATGGTGCCAGACTATTTATTCACAACAGCCTCACTTTCATTTTCTTTCTTAAATGTGGCTTAAAACATCAGAGTATGTTTAATCACAAATGTTACATTATTCATCAGAGCAGACTGGTATTAATTTGTAACGTCATTGCTTTCATTTCTCTACACAAGTTCCAAAATGAAGATTTTACCTCACTCTCAATCCAATATGGCTGACTTGTGAATAAGGCCCCTGGGACCTCAATGTCACCCACACGATTACCGGCTGTATGAGAATCGTGTCCCGAGTGCTGATGTACGGACCGTACATGAAAGAGGGGAAATTAAATAAAACGGTGGCAGATGAATCCACTTACGAGACCAAAACATTGTGCAAAGTTTTTTGTCTGTTTTTCAAAAAAATGTCACCGTAGTACATGAATACCCATACCCCTCAACCTCGTCCCCAGTGCTTACTTTATTTCCAACATCGTTTCCAATAGTAAGCCCTGGATAGGAAACTTTCTTCCTGTATCCTGATTCGACACCGCAATTGGCTAGAACTGGATTTATATCGTGTACTTGGTATTGTTATTCACAACGTGCAGTGCGTGTTTTCGCGATCATTCGTCCCTCGCTCTACGGTCCTTGCCTTCCCGAAAATGTTCATTTTATTTCCAATTTGTTCATATTAATATGAAATGTGATACTGCATGTCGTCTCGATAAGATCGTAACAGTTAAATTAAAATAAAATCGTGTCTTCGTAACTCACGCCATGCTCGCGCTGCGACGAATTGATTCTGTTTTTACCCCGGAAACCGCATACAAAAACAAACGCAAATGTAACACACAGGCAGGCACCAGACAATATTACTCATTTGCATATGTGTTCAAAAATCTTGCACATGCAAATGATCCAATACCAGGGTAAGAGAGCGGCTAGTGGTGGGCGCGTACTGCTCGACACCCTTGGGACGAGGTTGCCATCCCCTGAGCTGAAACTTCAACCGGTTGGTTTTTATTCACCCTACTTAAAGAGGCAATTACATGAATATTACTTGGGCTCATATTTTATGCAATATGTATGAAAACTACATGTACTTAAAACTCTTTTTTGTTAATTTTATTGAAAATCGCAGTTTTTTAAACATGTCAAATTTTCCATGATTTTCTTGACAAATGAGAACGCTGTTACTGATGTAATTTAAGGAAGACGCTGTTTCAGTTTGAGGATTTTCTGTTAAAATTGTGAACCCAAGATTTGCTCATTAAAAATATTTGTGGAAAAACTTTGCTCATTGGCCTAATAATGTCAAGTGCTGAAACAAAGAATCAGTGATGAAAATGATTTTGTGACGACAAAATATCAAAAATTGTGGAAAAAAAATTAAGCTAAATTGCTGCAACACTGAGGTATCTGCCTGAAATGAAATCACACTTCTGCTCATGAATATGCAAATTTGCATAATCATAAATCTAAAAAGGCACCAAAATGGCATTTAAAATGAAAATTTAAAATATTAAAGTTTTAATGGGACACAAAGGTGCATTTCCACGAATTGTATGAAAACAATTACATTACATGCCCTTTAAAGCACTAGCATCCGCGCAGGCAAAGTACTAGCCTTGGTCAATGCTCTCGTCGTTATTCGTCCCGTACGCGGTCAATCGTCGGCATACCATCACGCGCTATGCACATGCATGTACAAATACAGCGCGAACAGCGACCTCACGCGGCCACTATTTTTATGCAAATCAGTTGGAGACGATGTCGAGCCTTGGTTCAATCGTCCATGTGAGGTTTTTGGGGTGGTGCTGTTAATAGCCTTAGCTGACCTTAAAATTTCGTTTTCTTATTGGTTGATCGTTGCGTGGAAACTTGCATAGTGAAACGTAGCACCGTACATAGTCCATACACGTACACATTGTGTGTCTCTGCACACGGCACCAATGCACAAAAACTGTGGTTCCTGTCACGTCCGCAAAAGGCGGAAAAGCTGCAAATAATTTGATGACGTCCGAATTTACCAGGGTGTGATTGGACACTCCACATATTAGCCCCGCCTACATTATCTGTATTCGCATACGAGGTCGTGCGCTGGAAATCTAGCGCAAAGTAAAGAAAAACATAAGCTTTGGCCGACGATTGAACCAAGGCTCGACATCGTCTCCAACTGACTTGCATAAAAATAGTGGCTGCGTGAGGTCGCTGTTCGCGCTGTATTTTTACATGCATGTGCATAGCGCGTGAGGATATATGCCGGCGATTGACCGCGTACGGGACGAATAACGACGAGAGCAGTGACCAAGGCTAGCAAAGTACTACAAGTGCAGTCCATCTTGCAAATGATGATTGCTCACTAATCACATTGCAATTTCTGTGTTACAGTATTATTTCACGTGTTGCCACAGATAGTTGGAATAAAAGGTTGCTGCCTGTAGGTCAAAAACGTTTGGGAGGCTACCCTTAATCAACCTCGTACCCAGGGTGTCGAGCAGTACGCGCCCATCACTACCTGCTCTCTCACCCTGGTATTGGATCATTTGCATGTGCAAGATTTTTGCACACGTATGCAAATAAAGAACAGTCTGGTGTCTGGATATGCGTTACACATTAGCGTTTGTTTTTGTATGCGGTGTCTGGGGTAAAAACAGAGTCAATTCGTAGCAGCGCGAGCACGGCGTGAGTTACGAAAACACGATTTTTGAAATCAAACTGTTACGATCTTATCGAGACAACATGTAGTATCATATTTTATATTATTATGAGCAAATTAAAAAGGAAATTAGTATTTTCGAGAAGGCGTGGACGAATTATCGCGAAAACACGTACTGCACGTTGTGAATATATAGCACCAAGTACACGATAAAAATCCATTACTAGCCAATTGCGGTATCCAATCAGGATACAGGAAGAAAGTTTCCTATCAAGGGTTTACTATTGGAAACGCGGTTGGAAATAAAGTAAGCACTGGGGACGAGGTTGACCCTTAATGGGCCTACTTCTATGGTAGTACCAAATGAAGTCCTTCATCACGAAATATAAATAAGTTATATATGCGGTTAAGAGTTGAGCCTCCTCAAACAGCCTCTTTTGCTCATTGTTCACAGTTCATTGGATTGGTGTTGAAAGCAGAAGATGACAATTGTTGCAATTTTCACCGACTTCGCCGTAACTTATTTATGCAAATGACAATCTTTAATGTGGAGTGAACAAGGCAATTCAAGGCTACTCTCACCTCGTTTGATGCTTGATAAGTGACCGTACCCGGCTACCGAACAAAAGTATTACAGCGTCGGTGAAAGCCAGGAACATTTTTATTGCGCTATATTCTGCAAGTGCTTCATTCCGTTGTTGGCGGCAAGTCGATAGTGCATCGGAGTAATAAGATTTCACCTTCCTTCGTGGTTCCGTTTTTTGTGTGTGTGTGTTCTAAACTTTGCGCGAGTAACCATCGCCCATTTTGAACCGCCCAATGGCTCTGTACATGCCCTTTGCAACCTTTCTGGCCGTCATTTGTGGTGAGTTGCAACTTTTCTACAACTTTCTTTTCGTGGTTTTGTTTCTCTTAATACCCTTTCTGTATTTTTCAGTCGGGCGGAAGGGCCGAGGGAGTACCCTGAGTATCACCCATTCCTAATATATCGAGGAATGCAAATTTATCCGACGCCGCGCGCCAGCCAATCAGAGTCGACTTTACTAAATCGTGACGTCATTTCATTCCCAACTCTGGACTAAAATTGTGATTGGTCGATTCGGATGCAGTGTTTTGAAATACAACAACGGTCAGGCGCACATAGATCTACAAAACCTAGACAATACAATGAAGGCCGGCTCTATTATTGCTTGGCACACGTATCGCCTTAACATCGTTCCAGAGCGCGTGACCGCAGACTGTTTTGCTCAATTCACAGCGTAGAAAGAAGAATAATACCTGTCGCGTGTATGTAGGTTTTGTTTTGATATCCATGTCGAGACCCGATAGAAAGCGCCCTCTGAATGGTCAGAACGGGAAGGTCAAGACGCAGTATTTTTGCATAATTGATCGCCGAATCAGCTCACATATCATAGACCCTTGCTTTTCTTTCGCAAGGGTCTATTATAATAGACGGGGGGGGGGGGGGGGGGTATAACCAACCCAAACCCCTCACTTGGATCCGTCCTTGCGTAAAAATGCCTGTAGACTTTTGGTTAACACTATAGCAACGGATTTGTAGCTTGGAAAATGAAACTCAGAGAAGCGATAGATTTTCATGTTTTCTGATCCAAGTTTTTTTTTAACACAAGAATGTAACGTTTACCATTTGGGAAACCCATTTCCACCTCCCAAGTGAAGTGAAGTTGCATATTAAGATACATTATCGTAAAAATCTTATTAGCTAAAACGGCAAATAAAGGGGTTCTTAAACCACTGAGTCCTTGTATTAAGAACCCGTCTTGAACGCTTCCATCTTCCGTGTTTCTGCAGTGCATTTGGTGGGAGTGGAGAGCCATGCAAAAACGTGTTACTTCGGTCCTCCTCCGGAGCCATCACCGGGAGAAGACTGGATGACAGCAGCGATGCGAGAGATACGCAAACGTTGCCCTGGCCAGATCAGCAGTAAGACAATTGACAGTAAGTGATTGACATCAGTGGGGGTTGGACCTCGTGTAACGTTCAGGGCGCTCTTTTCGATCAGACTTGGCTCGGGTAATTATCCAGACTCCAACCGGTCTTAACAGAGTGTTTAAAACTGGCCAAGCACATTCCCTTAGTAATGTGAATGATCGAGCTGAAAGGAAGCTGCATGAGGTCAATATTTTTCAATAATTATCATCATTTGCATTTTTTGTTCAAATTGTTGTAAATTGCAATGACTTTTTTTAAAACACAGACTTATAGACATTTCTTTACAAAATTGGATGCTGTGGTCACGTGACCCCAACTTTCAGCAATCGGTTTTTTTCCTCAAAATGTTGTAAATTGCAATGACGTCTTTTTCACAGACCTAATATAGTGCATCCCAAAATACCCACAACTTTTTTGCGAGGCTCTAGCGTCGGCGCGAAAACGCGTACCGCCATTATTTTTTATACCATTGTAAAGCTTGGGATCTGAACTTTAGCCCTGGCGAGTATTGGTTCGATATTTAAAAGAGTTTTAAAATCGAAAACAAACTCAACCGATTTCAAGGAAAATCGATGATGTGGTAAAATCAGATGCGAACTCGAGTCACACTTCGAGCGCTCTTTTTGAATAGGTACATACTTGCACGTTAATTTCAAAAGAGACTCAGAATAAACTTAAAACGAAGAACAATGTTGTAAATTCATTGAAGGTATAGTCTACGTGGATCGGAAAGAATAGGAAACACAGAAAGTAAAAGGCAAGGAGATCGTCACATCATGAACATGACGAACCATATTTTCCACATTAGAAAAAGTGCCCATGATTGATTTTCCTTGAAATCGATGAGTTTGTTTTTGACATGCCTTATTGGAACTCGTTTAATTTCAAAACCCTTTTGAAAATCAGTGCAATACTAACCAGGATAAAGTTAAGATACCAAGTATATATAAATAATGGCGGTATACGTGTTTCCGCGGCCCGACGCTCGAGCCTCACAACAAAATGTTGTGGGTATTTTGGGACACGCTGTAGCGCATGTGACATTTCTTTACAAATTGGATGCTGTGGTCACGTGTCGCCAACTTTCAGCAATAGGTTAATTCTCTTTTGCTCGACCGCATGTATATCCCTTGAAGTATGAATGCTTTTTTACATATATACTGTTGATAATGTGGGGAAAACAACATGCAAAAGATGCTTTAAAGATGTTTGGGTTGCCAGGCGCTTGCAAGTCGGCATGACGTCACAGGGCACGTGGTCTGTCCCGAATACGCCCAGTTAGGAAATACACATATACAATTCAATATACAGTATAGTCTCAACGTTGTAGCTCCCGTACAATGTACCCGGAAGTAAAATATTCCCGTGAAATCTCGCCGATTCTGGAGGTCAAGTGTATTCCCAACTTCCCCTGCCTCGCACATGCCTCGCCCGTTCCTAGTGTAAAATGATTTCTGAATTGAAACCACAGGTGGGCCCGTTTGCTCTGAGGAGGGCCCTCTTGGGATGAAGGATGGGCGTATCCCTGGTGACAGCATCACAGCTTCGTCTTATTATAGCTCTCAGTATTATGGAACCGACGCATCGCGGCTGGATCACACAGGTGCGTCTTTTGGGAATAATGTCTAAATAAAGTATATTAACCCTCCCCCATGAAAACTCATCGCCCCCCCCCCCCCCCACCAAGCCCCAGACGCCACCGCTGGAAATTTGGCAACCGGAGAAAAAGCACAATATAAAGTTACCATGATTGCATTGAGCATAAAGTGCCTTAATTTTAACGTAATAATAATAATAATCGGCATTTAAGAACGCTCTTATTAGTAAACTAAATCACAGCGCTTACAAATAATGAACAATTAAATTAAATAAATAAATTAAGTTAAATAATAAAAACAGGTAGCATAGACAATGAATTGATTATTGATGGAATAAATTTGTCTTGATCAGCTTCTTGAATTGCTCAAGAGATTTGGCATTTTGAATGGAAAAGGGCAGACTATTCCACTCCTTCGCTGCAGTGACTGTGAAGGTTCTGTCACCAGCTTTGTTGTGGGTACGTGGGAAAGTCAGACGGAAAGGATTAGAACTAGAACGGAGGTTTGGTCTGGGGGGAACATGAGGCAAAATGCAGGACTGCATATATTCTGGTGACTGGTTGTGAAATGATTTGTATACCAAAAGTAATAACTTGTAACGAATTCGTTTGGAGATGGGCAACCAGTGTAGTGACTGCAGCAAAGGGGTGGAATCCTGTCTTCGGTTAGTCCTGTAGATTAGGCGAGCTGCCCAGTTCTGGAGACTCTGGAGTCTTTTAAGGTGACTTGTTGGGACAGATGTGAGAAGCCCATTACAGTAATCTAACCTTGATAGGATGAGACCTCTAACTGCATGATGACAAGAATTATAATCGATGAATTTTCTAATTTTTGAAATATTGCGAAGGTGAAACCGGACAACATTGCATAATTGAGTAATGTGGGATGTCATGGACATATTACAATCAAAATATACACCAAGATTCCTAGTAGATGTTGATGGTCTAATAGCTGAATTACCTACTGTAAGTACAATTTCTGGAAGATTGTTTAAATTGAAAGGTGAACCTATTATGAGAAACTCAGTTTTGTCTTGATTTAGTTTTAGTTTGTTACAAGTCATCCATGATTTAATATCAGACATGCATTTATTCAAGGTTTCAATGGCACGAATTCGATCATTGGGAGATTTGGGATCAAAGGAAATATACAATTGTGTGTCGTCGGCATAGCAATGGTGTGACACACCATGATGACGGGCTATGTCTCCAACAGGAAGTGTGTAAATGGAATAACCAAGAGGCCCAAAAACAGAACCCTGTGGTAGTCCCACACAGACTTCAGTAGGATGCGACTTTTTACCGCCAAGTTCTACTCTGGCTGACCAATCTGCAAGATATGACTTGAACCATTTCAGTGCAACATCACGAACACCAATTCTGTTTGAGAGACGAGATATTAAGATCTCTCTATCTATGGTGTCGAATGCTGCTGAAAGATCTAAAAGGTTTTCAAAAATGTTTTATTCTTATAAATAAAACATGACATTCATAATTAACAACATTTTAGCAAAAACAGAAAAGATTATTTCATCTATTTACAAATGTATTTACAAAATGAGTTAAGAAAAGTAATCCTGCATAAACATCTCAATCACACAAATTAAAAGGAAATTAAATCATCTGTGTTTCAAAAGAATTAACGGAAGAAACAAATATTGAAAGAAAATTGGCTCTTCTTGGAACATTTCGTAAAATATCGAACAGGAAAGCTGTCCTTGTAAAGGAAAAAAAACAAGGAATCGCAAATGGTCTGAGGAACTAGGTATTCCTGACGCGGACTTACGTGCCGTAAGTTTTAATCATGTTGATCATGTTGGCTGTCGTAGTGTGCGAGTGCTGAAATTTTGCTTTGCATCGGGTTATCCAAACAGTTGTTCTGTAAGCACTGAGAGCACGCACCATTTTTAATTCAATTTGTTTGCCTCTGTTGTTGGTAAATTCAGAATAGATCAGCAAATCCACGTCAGGAATGTTGGTTTCTTTACTGAGACTGCTCAGGTACTTACTGAGCCACTCACCCACCGGTTTGATCGTTTTGCACTCGACAAAAAGATGGTTACGTGTTTCGAGTTCGGAACAATGAGGACATAATCCTCGGTCGTTTGTAAATCTTCTTGTTCTATCACCGGTGGGCAGGACATTGTGCACTGTTTGGAAATTGGTTGTCAACTGTTTGTTGGTCAGTTTGGTGCACAGTGTTCTTTTCCATATGGTGGCCCAGTCTTTCCCTGGGCAGTCTCGTTGGGCTTTTGGCCTGGTTTCTTTGGTTTCTATAATGAATACAAATGTTTACTTTTGATTTTGCTCCAGTCGACAACATGATCTTTAAATTGACGATAATTGTCAACAACAGATTGGTAAAATTTTGGCTTATCCATGGCGTGAGGCCGATCATTCTTCGCTAAATCTGGGGCTATTTCTCTAAGAGAGAACCCACAACAGTAATTTGCAAGAAGTTTCCATTTCGCATATTTGTTTGAGATCATGTTGCCGACATGGACACACTGCAGAGTAGCCACCTTGCTCTTAATATCTATCACTCCCATTCCTCCCAAGGAGGGAGGGAGGAACATGGTGGCCCTGTTGACATGTTCAATTCTTTGAACCCAGATGAACTTGAAAATCAGGCTGTTAATTTCCTTAATCTTCTTATTGGGGGGTGGGGTAACCTCAGCCGTGTACCAAATTTGAGACAATATGTAGTTGTTAACCACTTCTACCCTCCCTTTTTGGGTTAAGTTGGATTTCCCCCAGGATTCAATAGTTTTCTTCAACCCATCAATTTTCTCATTCCAAATCCTATCAACCAAATTCCCACTGCCGAAATAATGACCAACAATTTTTGCCGAGGCTACCCATGGTATGTCAACAGGGCCAACAGTTTTGTTCCTCCATTTTCCGAGGAAAATGCCATTCGTTTTCTGCTGATTAAGCTTTGCCCCGGATGCCTTCTCATATCTCTCGACCAACTTGAAACATTGAAAAACTGAATATTCGTCAGAAAGGATCAAAGTCGTATCATCGGCGTACATGGAAAGTTTTACTTCGTCCCCACCCGGTAATTTCACCCCGTGGATTTTGGATTCGGATCTGATCGCACAACCAAGTGGTTCAAGAGCAAGGATATAAAGCAACGGTGACAAAGGACATCCTTGTCTTACCCCCCGTGATAGTGGGAAAGTCTTGGAAAGATTGCGATTGCAAATGACGGCAGAATTTATGTCAGTGTACAAAATTTGCACCCATTTTCGAAAATTGGGACCGAAACCAAACTTCTCCAAAATTTGCTGGAGATAATTCCAGTTTACTCTATCAAATGCTTTTTGTTGGTCGAGAGATACAAAGATGGCACCCAGGTTTTTGTTCAACGTAATTCTGAATGTTCCGAAGAAAGTGGGCATTGTCCAATATGGAGCGTCCAGGTACTGAGAAAGTCTGATCAATGTGGACGATTTTGTGAAGAATTTTCCTAGTTCGGTTGGCGGGAATTTTGGATAAAATTTTGTAATCAACATTGAGCAGTGATATTGGTCTCCAGTTCGAAAGTTCTTCTCGACTACCCTTATTTTTGTACAGAAGGGTGATGAGCCCATTTTTCTGAGAATTCGACAAAGATTCGTTTTCAAAGCAATAATTCAAAACATCACATAAATCTTGCCCCATCTCATTGAAAAAAGTTTTATAGAATTCGGCTGGCAACCCATCGGATCCCGGGGATTTGCCTGCCTCCATACTGAACAATGCCTCTCTTACTTCGGATAAGGTCACGGGCCCCTCCAGCAGTAAGCTTTCATCGGGAGACAACGACTTATCAATAACATTAAGGAAAAACTCAATGTTTGTTTGGTCGACCGGAACGGCCGTGTACAGGTCTTTGTAAAACTGGTGACAAGAAGCGGACATTTCTAAAGGATCTAAAGATTTTGCCTCTATCCCACCAATTTAGAAAGTTGTGAAAATAAGGCTTGTTTTTCTCCCAGTTTTCCCATTCGGATCTGATAATCTCTTGAAAAGAATCTTGATTCAAAAGACTAACATTGCAGCGCCAAACTCCTTTCCCTGAATTATCTATGTTGCCGGTAATTTGAGCAGAAACTTTATCATGATCAGACAAAGGAAAAGCGGTGATCTCATGTTTGGAACCAACTGACAATTCCCGAGACAAGTAAATTCTATCTAAACGATAAGCTTGAGTATTACTTTTGTTGTGCCAAGAAAAACGCTGAAGACGAGGGTTTTGTTCTCGCCAACAGTCTATTAAGCCATGATCCTTAAGAATTCTGCCGAGTTCTGTTGAGCCCAAAGTCCCATTGTAATACCTGAAAGCGCTACTTTGCTTGTGATCTAAGACTAAATCCGAATAACAATTGAAATCCCCACCCAAAATAACGTGCCTGGTTCCCCTAAAATGGTTGGCTAGGTTTTCTCTAAAAATCTTTTGTCGCTCTTTAGGATCGTTCGGGGCGTAACAATTAACAATGCGAACTTTGGAATTCGTGTTTGGTAAAGTAACTGTAACAGAAACAAGGCGGCCGTTATTGTCTCGGTAATAGTCAGTTGGTTTCCACGAATGGCATTTTGAAAGCAAGATGGCTACTCCGCGACTAGAAGATGAACCAAAGGACCAAAAGCCCTTGCCGTCAAATTCTCTTTCCCACGCCCTGGCCTCCATGAAGCCAGAAGCGTGGGTTTCCTGCAGGAGTAGGATATCTGCACCCTGACTCCTGCAGGAATCGAAAATCTGACGGCGTTTACACAAATTCCTCAGACCATTTGCATTAAGAGTTACAACTGAAATACTCATACATGTAAGAAAAATAATACATGCAAAATATTTACACAACATCATCAAAAAATAAGAGTTCAAATTCATTTGGAAGAACTCTTTCGAGCCTGTTTCTTCTTTCGATTTACCTCAACAAAACGTTTCTCGTCCTCTGAGTTCTCATCAGTTGATGAGGACAAGTTTCGTTTGGACGCTACACTGCATGTAGCCCCATAAATGTGGCCTATTTACTCTACTGCCTCCGTAAACATAGGCCACACATCCACATGTACAAAAATCGTGTCGACGGAGCCAAATTTTGATTTTCACATTTAGGCTTAGTTTGTAGGTTTTTTTTGCTTTAGAAGCATACTCACCCTCTTTACAGGCTAATCAGAAAGTGCTGCCTTTTTCAGATGTCTAATTTTTGTGAAATTTCATGTTGAAATTTTGATACGCAAACGTGTAAAAATGAATCTGGAAATTTCACAAAAAATATAACATCTGAAAAAGGCAGCACTTTCTGATTAGCCTATAAAGAGGGTGAGTATGCTTCTAAAGCAAAAAAACCCTACAAACTAAGCCTAAATGTG